CTGGCTGGCATGTGGTGCTGGGGGATTGAACCGCGGTCCCTGTGTTTTGCCAAGCTTGTTCCAAGTGGGTGCTTTAGACCACTGAGCCATCTCTCCAGCCCCTCAATTAGGTTCTTAAATGACTAACCAGAGTAAAGATTTCAGTATCTCCATTAACCCAATGATATCAACCTTTAGGAGGTTGAAGAGAAAAATTGCAATAGTCCAGCTAAACAATCATAAAGATGCACCTGATCTCCAGCCTGGCTAGGACCCAACAACCAGAGATGGGGGTCGTGTTTGACATTTGCATTTGTCCCCCCAAATAATAATGCCCTCCACACTGGTCATGGCTATGGTGGTTTCCTGGTGATGAGGTTCCACATGGTTTGTTTTCTACTGCTCAGCATATTCTGGAGACCCAAAAATCCTTCTTAAATTAGCAAGAGAAAGCTATTATGTTCTCACAGTCCAGATCTCTAAGCGATAATCAGTCTGCTGATAGGCCCCAGCTGCCATGTCTAAGGAGCTAGCACCTGATGTCCCCTGAGGTTAAGATAATCTATTCTTTCAGGAGGAAAACAGGAGAGAAATCTTATCAGGGAAAATGCCCAGGCCCTTTGGCCTTCTGGAAAATTACTGAACTATATTCTAACTACAAAAATCAATCTCTTAAGATCCCAACAGGCCTGAAGAATAAGCAGTGTAACCAAGAGGAAAGCAGAAATGAGCTGAGTGCAGGGAAGTGACATTCGCTGGCGCTACTCAGTGCCGAGCATTTCCCTTCAGTCCTCACAGGAAGACTGTGGGGCGGACATTCTTGCTCCTTGGGGTCACAGTCAAGGAAACTGAGGCTCTGAGAGGAGAGGTCACTTGACCAAGATGGAACCAGGGCTGAATCACTCAGAAAACTATGTCCTTTCTTAACCACTGTGGTATCATGTCCTAGAGGGGTCCCCTCTCTTCTCATTCTAGGCCCCTGTTTCCTCTCCCTCACATGGGGATGGTAAAGACTGCCTGGCTCACAAAGCTTTCAGAAGGATCTAGAATCAGAGGGTCATAGTGTGATTTGAGGGCACCCAGGACTCAGCTGAGAGCTGGGGTTACCTTTCTCTTTGTCCTCAAATTGACAACATTGGAACTCTGGACAAGGCCCTGTTGAGGGGTCACTAGTGTGGTGCTGGCACAATGGGTCCAAGGAAAATCACTAGGTCCTTCCAGGTCCCCAAAAAAGAAAGAGAGAAGGAGGCAGGAGGGAGAGTGAAGGGGGTGCTTGAGAAGTTGCTGTTTTTGGTAGCTGCTCAGCTGACAGTTTTCCAAACTGAGAAACACACATACACAAACTCTAACCTCTTCTGCCTTAAAATAGAGCAGCTGAACCAAAAATGCCAAGCACAGGGCAGAGTCACTTGCCTAGCAGGCCCAGACAGCTCCCCCTTGGCCCAAATAATACCCACTCCCAGCGGGTACATTTGACAAAGCAGCTCTCAGATGAGTGAGGCCTGCCAAAGCGCCCACCTCAGAGGTGGGAAAGACAGGTCCCTAGGCCATAGGAGTGAGGTGCGGCCAGCACCATCCTGCCTGACAGGGATCAGGACCTTGGGAGCCAGACAGCCCTGAGTTCAAGTGCCGACTCTGCCATGATCTGGTTGTGAGGACTTAGAGCCAATGTCACTTGTTTCCAGAACCATGGAGGGAGTTTTCACAGCTGAGAAGGTGCCCAGAACAGACCAAGGCTGAGTGACCTAGCCTGGCTACTGCTTCTGAACACAGAATTCTTGACCTTGCAGGCAGAGAGTTGGGAAAGGGGAGGGGAATCAGTTACTGGTGCAAGAGCACCTCAGATAGGTTCACTGTAACTTTGATAACCCTTGGTATGGTCCTGTGTGATGAACATCAATTTCATTAATTTTTCCAGGTGGGGAAACTGAGGTATGGTGAAGTAGAAGGGTTCTGACTGCCAACACACAGCTAGAAAGAGGAAGAGCCTGAATTTGAACCCAGATCTTATGGACTCCAGCTGTGCTCCTGACCAAGATCCCATGAACGCTCTCCTGAGAGAGTCCTGCCCATTCACCAAGCCACTCCCCCAACTCCACTGTCCCAAGCAAGCTCTTCTTGGACCCTTCTTGGACTGAAGCCCCTTGGCACCCCATTCAATCCCACCTCGAGACTTCAGCCTACATTTCTGCCCCTTCTGACTCTGAGAAGAATCAGGAAACTAAGCTTGCTGACACTATCACTAAAAATAAGGCCAAGACAACTACGTCAGCACCCTTGCCACCAGCACCCTGTTTCTGGGCCACTGATCTGCCTTCTGGCCTCTGGGGAGAAAGGGTCCAAGGTCCCATCTACAGACACTGGGCCCTGCTTCTACCTGGACAATGAGGCCCTGGGGGCCAGCAGCCACACCCTTGAATATATGTAACAGTAGCTGACACTTTTAGGCACACTGTCAGGGCTTCAGGTCCATTGGATCAGGAATTCTTAATAACTGCTGTGCTGTCACCAACCATCACAAATGAAGTAGCTTAGCCCAAGTGTGTCATCTTCCAGTTCTGTGGGGTGGACGTCAAGGGCCTCTCTGGGCCAGAATCGAGGTATTCACGGCGTGCCTTCCTGGAGACTCTGAACAGGATTGTATGTCCTTGCCTTTTTCAAAAGTCACCCACTTGTCATGTTTGTGGCCTCCTTCCTTCATCTTCAGCCCCGGCAATGCCAGGCTGAGTCCTGCCAGCTCCCTGGTTCTCTCTCCTGCATCCCTCTTCCTGTGTTAAGGATCCTTGGGATTGCATTGGGCCCACCTAGGTAATTCAGTAGCACCTCTCGTTTTGAGGTCAGCCAATTAGCCGCCTTATGCCATGTATGATCATGAATGCCTCTTTCTCAGGCAGCCAGTTCTAGTCACAGGGCTACGGACAGGGCATGGACATATTTGGGGATTAATCTGCCTCTGCAGCTCCTCTTGAGTTAGGATTTTTTTTTTTCCCTATGATACTGATGGGAAAACAGGCATCCAAGTTCACATTCTAACAAGCAAAAAAAGTGGGCTCTAAACCCAGTGGCTGGGTATAGTTCACCCTCTTAAATTCCAATTTTAGTATATGTGCTGCCAAAGTGAGCACATACCCTCTTAAATTCCATCTGCTACTGCTCTCCTTTGTCCACAGTCATTGGGTACTTGGATACTTTCATTCATTGGATACTTTCTGTTCCAGGTTCAGGTGCTGGGGAACCAAGATTGGATTCCTGTCCTCAGGGAGACACAGAGAATGCATGAATTACCCTGCCCTGAGAAGAATCCCCGAGGTCCACCGTAGCACACAGGGCTCCACCTACCGAGGAGTCAGGGAAGTCCTGAGCTGAGAGCTGCAGGGTGGAAGAGGGCTTAGCCATCGGTATCTACTGCAGAAGGACGCTGTGTGATGAAACCCATCGATACATGTAAGGTGCTTCCATGGGGGCTGTACCCTGGCAGATGCAGTAGGTGTTGGCTGGCTGAGAGGACTGTCCCTGGCTGAGTAGGAGTTTGTACAAGTAACTGAAAGCTTAGGGTGGCCAGGGCAAACAAGGTGAAGTGTTATGGGCACAGAGGCTGGAGCACTCACTGAGAATGGGTGGTGCATGCCAAGGCTGCCCAGACCTGGGAAAGGCTGATGCTCTGGAGAGCTATGCGTGAGGTGCTGCTTTCTCTCCACGCAGGCCCACCCAGATTCTGGAGAAAGCATTCCAGTGGGCCTGGGGGAAGGAGTGGGCTGCTCGAGCCAGGGCTGGGCTCTGTGGAAGGCTCTCCGTGGTGTAACCCAGCTGCTCTGACCAAGTCTAGGGGTCTTTAGCTTTCCACATCCAACCCATCAGCAAGTCCTGTTGCTCCATGTATCAGGGTAACACTAGCTGCAGTGACAGGCAGACCCCAAATCTCAAGGCTTAACATGTAGGACAGTTCAGGACATGTTAGGGACACGTGGGCAACCCTACAGTGTCCCTTTGGGGCTGTGCTCTCAGCCTGCAGGTTGTGGGAGGGGAAGAGAACCAGGGGTGGGGACTGGGCTCTAGGGGGCAGACCTGGAGTGGCATGTGTCCCTTCTGCCCAGGTTCCATTGACTATGCCTAGGTCACGTGGACACTTGACTGGACATTGTGGCTAGCTGTGTGCTCAGCTTCACCTCCCCAGTGTATCCTGGGTCCATCGTTTTTCTTCGTCTGTGCACACATTCAGACTCTCCCCCACCCTTCACTTTCCACACAGCAGTCTGTGCTGGGTTTTTTTGGTTTTTTTTTTTTTTTTTTTTTTTTTTGGAAATGGGCGCCAAAGCATGGACCCCTGGTTATGAGCTTGTTTTTCTGCTTGTAGAACTTTCCATGGCTTTCACTTGAGCTAAGGAATAAACCCACGTAAGACCCTGTGTGAAACCACCTGTTTCTCTTCTGTCCCACACCCCTGCACTCCAGTTCTCTCAGTTCCAGTCACAATGCCTCCCTTCGGCTAATTCTGCTTTGGGTATAAACTTGTACTTGTCCCCTGATATTCTCCCACCCCCCACCTGCTGCTCCCGACTTTCCTGACCCTCCACCCCGGCGGTTCCCGCCTCCCCCAGACACGCCGGGTCTTCCTTCTGTATCACGCTTGTCTTAATCTTTGCTGGTTAGCCAACCCTGCCTCTTGCGCCTCAGCTCTGGGTCCTCCAGGGACCTTATGTGCACCAGCAAGTGCTTGATGAACGCTTGCCTGATGACCAACTGCAGGAAAGAACCACTGACTCTCCCAGGGTCCCAAGTTGAGTTGGTGGCAGAGGCAGGACTTCCGCGGATCTGGGCTGGGGCCTTTGCTCCAGATGTCACTGTTTGCACACGCGTGAGCCCCGGGACGCCAGCGAGTAAAGGGAGACAGCTGCGAGGGGCGGGCGGGACGAGAGTTGCGCAGCTGGAGAGCCCGCGCTGCGCTGGCCGCCTCCTCTGCTGGGCGCCGCCTCCGGCTGCCGGGCCAGGTGGCGGGCGAGCAGGTGGACGGGCGCCCCTCCCCGTCCGGTCGGTGCCGGTCCGGGTCGCCGGGTCCCGGGCGCGGCCATGAGGAAGCAGAGCGTGCGCACGGCCGCGCTCATCCTGTGCATCCTGTCCTACCTGCTCGTGGGCGCCGCGGTCTTCGACGCGCTCGAATCCGAAGCCGAGCGCGGCCGGCAGCAACTGCTGGCCCAGAAGCGCGGCGAGTTCCGGAGAAAGTACCGCTTCTCGGCCGAGGACGATCGTGAGCTGGAGCGTCTGGCACGGCAGGCCGAGGTGCACCGCGCCGGCCGCCAGTGGAAGTTCGCGGGCTCCTTCTACTTCGCCATCACCGTCATCACCACGATCGGTGAGGTCTCCCACCCTCTTGCGCTCCTGCATCCCGAGCGCCCGGCGCGCGTGCTCTGTCCCTGCCCAGCCGAAGGACTTCCGTCCCCTGAGCCTCAGCCACCTCCCTCTACCCAGTGTGGCTGCCAGCCCACCAAGACAGGGCTCAGCAGGTCGCAGTGTTTGTTAAGAGCCTGGCACAGGAGGGCTTCAAAAACTCGCAGCACTGGGGCGGGGGTTAAATGGGGCTGGAAGACCGAGTGATCCGACCACTCGGCCCCGCTGCACGAACTTGAACAAGTTGTTTAGCCTCTGAGGCAGTTTTCCCTTGTAAAACAGGAGTGCTAATAGGTCCTATCTTGGGGCTGTGGCGAGATGATTATCAAGGAGATAATATATGCGGAAAGTTTTAGCACAGGATCTGACACATAGAGAGCACTACAGAAAGGGGGATTGGTCTTTGCGTTATAATAGTTATTATTCTGTTATTCCATGAGAACAGAGACCCCATATGTCTCATTCACTGCTGTATAAGCCAGTGACTGGAGCGTAAGGGGTGCTCAATAAATATTTGTTGAAGGAAGGATGGATTACCGCAGGCTTTGGACCTTACCCTCGGGCATCCGGGGCAGTACCTGGAAGCATCTGGACTGCCAGCTGTTGCCATGGCTACCGTCTGGCTGCTACCTGCTGAGCCTAACCCCTGGGAAGCCGCAAAGGAGAGAATCCAGCTCAGCAGAGTGCCAAGCTTGGTGCCAGCCCCTCCACAGGCTTCCCCTTGGGCTCAGACCACCAACCCTGAAGCCCTGGCCCTGGAGAAAGTTTCTCCATATTGCTCTTACAGGTGGACAGGAATTGTGAGCTTAGCGACTAAGTTAAATGTCCGACTTCTGCAATTTCATAGACTGAGTTTTGCCACCTGCCTTCTCAGGCAACTGATTGTACCTCTCTGAGCTTTGGTTTCCTCAAAGGCAACAAGCAATTGTGGCCTCGCTGGTTGCCAGGTTCAAGCAAGGTCAAACGTGTCAAATGTGTAATATGGTACCTGAGGCCAAGGCAAGCACTATTTTTCAGTAATAATAATTCATTATTTGTTGACTATGGCCCAGCTCTCATCCAGCTCCTTTGCACTTCCTATCTACATGGGTGCCACTGTCCCCTTATTTTTGGCCTGAGACCCTTGCTGTGCTGGTACCCAGGGATATGGTGTCTCATTCTTATCCCCTGAGGCCCCGGAGGATGGATTCAGTGCCTCTCCTGGCTTTACCCTTCTGACACAGGGGGAGGAGAGTAACTGAGTGGAAGCAGAAGGAGTTTTGCTTTTTCTGACCACCGGAGGGTGCTACTACCTGCTGTGTGGTCCAGTCTGCTTACACCAGCCTTGCAGCAAGAGAGAGCCAACCCTCAGCACCCAGGAGTCTGAGCTCTGCTTGGATGGAAGTAAAAGACAAGCACCAAGACAACAGGGAGGACAACAGCTGATAGTTTAAGCCCTGGTACCTTTGGACAGCTTCCTTCCTCTGAGCCTGGATTTTTCATTGGTAAAATGGGAGTCCATAGAGTGACTGGGAGGGCTAAATTCAGTACCTGGTATGTCTAGTTATTATTATTCCTTTCACTTCTTGACCAAACCTGGCATAGCCCCAAGCAGCTAGAAACAGCACTTCCTGGCTTCTTATTCCTAAAGTGGCTGCTCAGTCTCACTCTAGCACCCCTTTAACTTGGTTGGGGCCAGGAAATATTCACTGGGCATATGGTCTGTGCCTGTGTGGGACATTGGAGACTGGAGAGATAGAGAAGTGGCCTCCATGGTCCCGACTTCAAGGAGCTCAAAATCTGACAAAGGGCAGCCTACCCTGTAGGGAGGAGGAAGGCAAATTGATAGGGCTGTGCAGCAGCTTGTGACAGTGCAGCCACAGTCTTCAGACATACATGCTGTGGGCTGGGGAGATAGCTCAGTGGCATAAGTGCCTGCCTAGCAAGCACAAGGTCCTGAGTTCAATCCCCAGTACCATATTGTATATCTATGCTGCGCTGATATTGTGGATGTCCGCAGCAAACACCACTCAGGGCACAAAGGATTTCCTTCCACCTTGTCTTTCAGCCCCTAAATCCTTCCAGCATCAAATACAGTCATAGTTTCTTGTGTATCCTTATTATATAGGTACTATAATGCACACATTATATTATCCCTTGCTTTCTTCACTTAATATATTTTGAAGATGTTTTTGTATCAGTCCCTAAATTGCTGCAGTCTTTTCATGGCTGGTTAGCAGGACTTCCCAACCTGGGGACTGCTGACATCTGGGCCCAGATCATTCCGTGTTATATAGGCAGGCTATGCATTGCTCCATATCTGTGGTATCCCTGGCCTCTACCTTCTAGGTGCCAATGGCACTTGACCACCTCATCCCTCCTCAGTAGTGACAGCCCAGAATGTCTCTAGATATTGCCAACTGTCCCCTCAGGAACAAAACCACTGTGGGCTGAGAACCAGTGAGGTACAGTATTCCCTTGTTTGGGTAGTACCGTATTTGGCTAGGTCCCTGTCAATGGACACGTAGGTCGTTTCCAGTTTTCACTGTAACTGGCAGTGCTGCAATGACAGCCCACGTGCACATCATTTTGCCCGTGTGTGTAGAGTGGAAAGCTAACTTCCTAATTATAGAACTGCATAGGTCAGAGAGCTTGTATATTTTGCATTTTAGCAGACAGTGCCAATCCTCTTGGAAAGGCCTATTCTGTTGTGGAAATCCACCTGATCTCTCTGGGGTTATAAGCCATGAGTACTAGAAGAGCCAGTCACACACCTATTCCTTCTGCAGCAGCTGCACAGTGATCCAAGACTCAAGGAAACCCTAGAGTGGAAGCCCCTCTAGCCGATGAGGGGCTTGGTGAAGCATCCCTATCCCTATCCCAGACTGTCAGGAATGAAGAGGTGCTTAGTGGGATCTGACCCAGTGGTGGAGGAGGCGGGATCTGGGAATGGAGCAAAGTTGAGGACCATTCAGGGAAGAAAAAACTCTGAGAAAAGGGCAGGGGGAGGTGGGTCCCACTGGTGGAGTAACAACAGGGTGTTGCTGGAGAGTGTCATCAAAAGAGAAGTGGTGAAGATGGAGAGATGGGGCGGGGATTCTGACCAGGAAGGACCTAGGTAGACTGCCACTTGAGAGATGAGACCTTATCCCATGGGTCCTGGAAAGCCATGGAAACTTTCCCATGAAGAGATAACTTCCAACAAAACTCACAGTGTTTCAGGGTTGTAATAAAGGAGTCCATACTATATAACTGCACGTCAAGGCATTAAATACTTCCTTCACTCCCCAAACCTGTCATACCTATTTGCAGTTAACCCCTTGGCTCACCCCAAGGACTTGCAACCACGATCTGTTCTCTATCCCTGTAACTGTGCCTTTTCCAGAATGTCCATGTCATGGTTCAGGGGAACCATGCACTTAATGTCTTCAGCCAATTAAAAAGTTTATGTTTCATGGTCATTCAGACTTTGGGAAGAGCTGGAAGTTGCACCATGGCACATCCAGGGAATGAATTGGATAAGAATGCACTGTAATGTTTTTAGGAGACTTCCTAGAACTTGGAAGCAAACGCACTGTATTCACTGTATTTTTTTTCCTGTATTTTAGGGCAGGGTCTACAGGGTGTTCAGGATCTCACTATTAGATCAGACTCCTAGTGATTCTCCTGTTTTCAGCCTGCCAAGTGCTGGGATTACAGGTGTGCACCACCACGCCCAGGGGATTGAAACCCTGGCCCCTGCGCCTGCTTACAGGCGCTTTAATCCACTGAGCTATTTGGCTGCCGTCACTGTATTTTTTAAAATCACTTTTCATAAAAACATGAGAGAGGATGTGGAGGACCACTTCAGAAAGTGGCAAGGATGATGAGATAGCTGTATCTGAAGTGAGGGGAAGTATTTTGAGAGGTATTGATGGCAATTATTGTAATAATTATGCTTAAGCACACATTATATGTTTTGATCAGCGCTTGTATGTTTAGATCCACCTTCTAACGCTGCAGGCGGCAATAGTTCTTTCTATTGCCCTCCCGCCAAAGTATTGCTGGAATGTACCACGGGTTATTCCCCTGTCGAGGGACACTGGGACTGTTTACAACATGGGAAAATTATTTCAATTTTTTTTTTTTTTTTTTTTGTATTTAGTACAGGGTCTAGAGGGTTGCACTACACAGATTAGACTCATAGTGATTCTCCTGTTTTCAGCCTCCCGAGTGCTAGGATTACAGGCGCACACTACAACACCCAGTCTCAATAGCTGTCTCAGTGTGCCCAGGGGGGTGGGGCTGGCACTGCACACCAGGGATCCAACCCTGGTCGCTGTGCTCTGCCTAAGCAGGTGCTTTAGTCCATTGAGCTACCTGGCCGGCCCTTGGGGAGATTATAATCGCGCAAGATTTCTAAGTACTGGGTGACCTAGTGGGACTTCCTGCTCAAGATGGTCAGCAGGGCCTGGGGGTGGAAGGGACAGGAGTGCTATTAGATGTAACCAGACCCTCCCCACCCTCTCTTCACTCTTGTCCAGGGTACGGCCACGCCGCGCCAGGCACGGACTCGGGCAAGGTCTTCTGCATGTTCTACGCGCTCCTGGGCATCCCCCTGACGCTGGTCACCTTCCAGAGCCTGGGAGAGCGGCTGAACGCGCTGGTGCGGCGCCTCCTGCTGGCGGCCAAGCGCTGCCTGGGTCTGCAGCGCCCGCACGTCTCCACCGAGAACATGGTAGTGGCCGGGCTGCTGGTGTGCGCCGCCACCCTGGCCCTCGGGGCGGCCACCTTTGCGCACTTCGAGGGCTGGACCTTCTTCCACGCCTACTACTACTGCTTCATCACCCTCACCACCATTGGCTTTGGAGACTTCGTGGCGCTGCAGAGTGACGAGGCACTGCAGAGGAAGCCGCCCTACGTGGCCTTCAGCTTCCTCTACATTCTGCTCGGGCTCACGGTCATCGGCGCCTTCCTCAACCTCGTGGTCCTGCGCTTCCTCGCCAGCGCCGATGCACCTGAGCACGCTGCCCGCCCTGCCAACCCGTTCTGCCCCAGGGCGCCTAAGAGCCGCGACCTCAATCTGCCCCGCCGCGCAGCTGGCGTCCGGGCCACCACCTGTGTCGCCCACCGCATCCTCCAGCTGCAGCTGCTGGCTTGTGACAACCCAGGCTTCTCCCCACCTTGCAGTCCCATACGCCGTGGCGGGGTCGACAGGCCCCACGCTCGCCGGAAGTCCATCTGATCTAGCGGTAGTTGGATAGCAGCGTCTGCTTTCACCTATGATAAGCACCACGTGCCCCAGGTCCCGGAGAGGGTGAGGGCCTCAGGGCTGTCTCCTGGCACGAGGATCTTCTGTGACTCAACTCCTTCCTTCCCGCCCCTCCAGCAATATACCCATGCCCGATCGTAAGCACAAGCCAGACTCTACAGTCACCCTGTACGTGCAAATCCCTCACCCAAAGCGCAGGACAGATGGTACATGTGCCCCAGGAGAGGCCTCGCACAGGTGCATGCCAGTAGCCCACTCTCAGTCAAGGGGCTGTTTCCGTTGTGAAGAGGCGGTTCTGTGTGCTACAGGGGAAACGTACAACTCTGGACTCCTCTATGTAGGCCAGATGCTCACACTAGAAGCGAGCAGAGATGGGTGGAAGGGAGCTGCCCACCATTCATAGAGCCCGTCTCTGCATTGTGCAAACCACCTGTCCTCATCCAGCATAGAAAGCAGACTTGGCTCATGTGTGAACAACTCCCCAACTTTTTCCCTGGCTTGTCCCAATTCCAGGTCCAGGGGGCTTTGCTGACAGTCCCCAGGACTACCTTGAGGCAGCCCAGTGCCATGGGTCCTGCGTGTATCACCAGCAATGTGACCTTCAGGCTCTCATCCTCGATCTGGTCCACTTCCACATCAGTATGATGAGTAGAGTTCCTCCAGAACCCTGCTCTCTATGGTGCATCTCTAGCAGGGCTTTCCTAGAACATGCCCTCGCTCCATAACAGAGCATTAATGAAGCCCACAGTTGGCCATCTGGGCATCCCATAGCACTCAGCCCTTAAAACCACCAGCATCTCAGATAGAACTGTCTCAACACAGAGAGCAACCCAGGTTAGAAAAGCCAAAAACTTTAATTTTCAACATGAGCTACATGGTCATGAACACAATGCAGCGTGACCCACTCCAACCCAGGGGCCCTGAAACCCTCCCTCCCTAAAGGCCCAGTGGCTCCTGCTCTGGAAAAGGACACAAGAATGAGTGGATAGAAGGTGGCCCTCAGCTCCAGGAGCCAGGGACTTTCCCACCACCACTCCACAGGAGGCAGTCATGGCATGAAAGGGCTCAAGGGTGATACCTACGCCCAGGATCCAGCCTCCACTCTGCCCATGGCCACTGTGGGGAAAATGGGTGGGGCCACCTGCTCTAGGGGCTTTCAGGGAGCTTGTGGGTGTGAACACTTTCTGCCCACTGATGTGCAACTGCCCCTGCAAACACAGGCCCTCCCGGAGGGCAGAGGGAGCTGGTACAGAGGGGCTGGGAGAGGGCTTGGTCCTCTGGGTCTGGCACAGCACTGCTGCTCAATAAATAAAGGCAGGTGACCTTGCCTGATGCAACAGCCGTGCCTCTGGAGGGAGTGGGCTCGGTGCTTTCAACACAGGGTGGCCCAGAGCTCCGAGTCAAGGAGCTGGATAGAACATCAGTGTGTGAAGTGCATAACCCCCTAGCTAAAAAGTCCTGGGGTGGAAAGGACAGCTAGCGACTACTGCAGAAGCGAGTGCTGGTGCTGGCCGAGCCACTCACTTGAGGCAGGACTTTCAAAAGCACCTTCCTCCCCTGGAACCTTGGCTTCTCCCTCATGAAAATGGGGCTGACAGCACAGGCCTCCCTCCACTCCTTCTCTGGAGCTCTTGTGGGGTTCAAAGGGCACACTCTGAGAGAAAGCACTGCGAAACAACACTGATAGCACTGAGAGAAACGGGGCTCGTCGCATCCGAAGTTCAGTGAGGATGTCTCTAGATGCAGGCTGCTTCACACAGCTCCTACTCTTCACTCCTCGGCCCAGGCAGGAGCTGATGCTTCACCCCTTTTCTCCAGCTGGTCCTGTGGAGGTTATGGTCCCTAGACGGGATCCCCCACCCCTTCCTCAGGTCCTACATGAAATCCTGTGCTCAGTCAGCTGGGTTGACCCAGAGAGGCCTGAGTTCCCAAGCACAAGCCTAGAAAAGACACTGGCCCGAGAGCCAAGCAGGGCTGTGTAGCCCCATATTTATAGAGGCCGAAGTGAGCATCAGGGCCAAGCTATCCTCAAACAGTTTTTCTGCACAGGGAAGAGGCACATGGGGCCCCAAGCTCTGCCTCCTTTGGCCACTTGCCTAGGGCTCTTGGCTGGCCCTCAGATTTCTAACCTCTCAGATGGGCTACAATTTGTGCTGGCCATATTTTGGGGTCCTCTGGGAGGCTTCAAAGAGCGAGAAGAGGAAGAGTGGGAAGTGTAAGCCCCCTTCATCCTGCCCTGGTGCCAGATCAGCCCAGTGGGAAAAGGAGCCTCAGGCTCAGGGAGCTGTGAACCACCAGGTGGCTTTCCCTGTGGTGAGCCTGGCTCTTCCTGTCCATAAAATGGAAATGGACTAAAGGTCCCCAAAGCCCTTTCCTTCAGTATGGAAAGTCATTTCGGTGAAGGAAGATGGAGGTGGTACCCTCCCATGGCAGGCCAGCCCAGAGACTGAAAAAAGTATTACTCCTGGAGATGCCAGTCCCAGAAAGGGTCCCCAGCTCCACTTTGTGCCTCCCTAAATGGTAGAATCTGAGTTGGCAAAAGATCAGAGAACCAAGGGGAGAGGCCAGACTAAAGTTTCCCCAAAGCTAATGACTATAATCATTCCCCCTCCCCAAGCTCCCTCCCAGTGAGGACAGACAGTGGTTCCCACACCCAGTGGGCACAGCCCCTTCTAGGGGGGGCACGTGCTCACAAAGATGATACAAATAAAAAGGGCTCTAGCCCCCACCCCACCCCTCCAGGAGGTGAGCGAAATTTCACAGAACAAACAAGAAAGTCATTGAGGGGGCCTTAAAGACCACCCCCAGGGTGTTGTTATTATTGCTTTGGAGCGATCTCTCTCTCTCTCTCTCTCTCTCTCTCTCTCTCTCTCTCTCTCTCTCTCTCATCTCTCTCTTTTCTCTGTGTCTCTAACCTGAGCAAACAACGGAGAGAAGGCTCAGGCTGCAAGGACAAGTGGGTGCTGAGCCCCTACTCCTCTGGTTGGGAGAGCCAGGCCCTGCCCGGACTTTGAAAAGTGACCCCTGAACAATACAGCAGTGTCAGGCAGCTGGAGAGAGAAGCCACTCTCCTGCTGACTCAAAACATCCCAGATAGCAAGTAATAAATGAACAGCAGAGAAATCACACTGGTTAAAAAAAAAAGGGGGGGGGGGAGGCCGGGAAGAGGAGTTGATTGTGGGCCTTGGATAGGCACTCCCTGGAGCCCCGAGCCCTTCCACACCATCCCAGCCTTAGGATTTCCCCTCCATGGCTCTGGGAAGCTCTGCAGACCCAGAGGAGAACAGGATCTCCACTTCTCCTTCCCATGGGACTTCCCAAGAGTTCCACAGAGGGGACAAAACTTAACTTTAGAGGACATCTATAGCTTAACCAGGCAAAGGAGTGGGGAGGATTTCCAAGTAGAAGGTATCCCTGGGGGAACCAGGAACAAGGTGGGACCAAGGAGAGCCTAGGGCTCCTCAGTCTGCAGAAACCAGGCCTCTTCACCAAGGCCCAGCAAACCTCAGAAACATCTCATGAAGAAAGTGAGAACCGAGGATAACAAGTCAATGTTGAGTATAATGGACAGCTCCGGCTACATCCCTACAAGGGAAGGTCTGAAGGGAACAGGGGGAGGAGGAGAGGGGCTGCTGGCCTCCCAGGAACCAGGTGGCTGATCCGGGCCCAGGCCAGCAAGGAGACATAGTCTCCTGGAATGTACTTGGGTCTCCTCTCCATCTCCAGCCTAGGACTCTGTAAAGACTACTCTGAGCTAAGATCAGGCCCCAGGCCGAGAATACTAAGTCTACCCAGCTAACCTGGACTACGCCCTACACAGCAGGGACTAGGTGAAGAGGATCGGCTGCTGGATGCCTCCCGGGCGGAGGTGGCAGAAATGTGCTTCTACAGAAGAGGGCCTAGCCTGTGTCCTCCCTTGCATGCAAAGGGCTCCCATGGGCCCAGGGAAGGCCACGGTGAAGGCAGCTACCCAGGCCTCTTGGGTTTTACTCCTAACTCCTCACTCCTTCCTGCCACCTTCTTCCCTTGAGCCAAAGGGACTGAGGGCGGGCAGGGGCTCCTGCCCTTGGTACAAGATGGTTTATTTAAAAATACTAAAATAGGGTGGCTCACTGCCTCCCCTGGCCCCTAACCTGGAGGCAAAGGAGAACACAAGGTGACCTTTGACCTCACCTAACAAGCAGGAGTTCTTGACACCACCAGCCTCAGTTCCCCCTTTCCTGGATCCACCAGGATCCCCCAAATGCCAAGATGATGAATTCCCTGGTCACAGGGTTCTGGAAACTCAAGGTCTTGCCATTCTTCCACCAGAACACAGATGATACTGTTCTAATTCAGCAACAGTCTAGCCTGTGGCAATCCCATGGAGCGAGGCACCCTAGCCACCCCTAGGCACCTCCTCCTTTCCTTTGGTCCCTGCTGGCCCCTAATTCCTAGAGCCACCAGAAGAGGGGCAGGCAGGAGGGGATGGATAGATGAACTCGGACAGGCTACGGCAAAGCTCCTTCCTCGGGCGGGCAGAGGAAGGCCTGAGTTCCTCTTCAGGCAGAGGGCTCTGGGCCCGTGGGAGCTGGCTCCGGATCCTTGCAAAGCTGCCCCTCAGCTCTGGGGCAGGAGTAGCTGCCTGAACCCGGTGCCGCAGGAAAGACACTTGCTGGTAATTGGCACCATGGAGATGGCCGGCTGGGTTCTGGACTTGGCTCCGGGCAGCAAGCTTCCGAGGAGGCAACATGGGGACAGGTGGGACAGTGTTTGGGCAGGGGGTGGTTTGCCCTGCCACCTCAGTCCTTCTCCTAGTGCAGCCATATCCACCAGGCTAACAACTGGCCAAGTCAAAAGTGCAGCCAACCCAATGGGAGAGGGAAGGTCTCGAAGGGTAGGAGGCAAAGAAGGAGTGAGGAGAGGTCGCGAGGCAGGTCTCCCAGTTCTGCTTCCCCACTGTGGGGGAGAACCCCCTACTCCTCTGTTTAATGTGCCTCTGGGCCTGGGGTCCCAGGTCAGGGCTGGGCGGTCTCCAGGCCATCTTGGGGAGCCCCTCCCCATCCCCGGCACTAAGATCGCTCGCCGCAGGGCCCAACGGTGCTCTCAAGGGACAACTGCGATGCCTGCCGCAGCAGGGGACCTGTGGCTGGGTCCACCATGGAGGAGGTGGGGAAGAGCTTGTACCAGCCCACAGCTAGGGTGGTCAAGTCCAGCTCCTCCAGCAGCACGCGGGCCACACCCATGAACTGCTTCCGCTCCATTCGCCCATAGTTTCCCCACACGATCACCTGTAGGGTAAAAAACAGGGTGGCTTGAGCCTACCAATGGCACCGGCAGGCACAGAACCAGAACCCGGGGCTGCTCAGGCCCATGCATATGAGACCTAGCTCTCTAAAAGTGCTCTAAGCTAACCATATTTTCCTGGATTTAGAGTCTCCACTACCACTGGCTCTTGATTCCCTCTCCACTCTGTCCTCCTCACACTCCATCTCTGAGCCCAGGCTTTCAAGTCAGACCCTACATTGTGAGTCCTCTGCCTGCTTTCTCTGTGGACCTGCTGCCTCCAAAGCAGCTGGTACAGTGTGCAGGCCACTTTTTTTTCCTCTTCCGACCAGTCTCTTTCTTGGCCGACACCCCCTTGGAGATGCCAGGCAGCGGTCTCTGGCTGCATGACTCTCACTGGCTGTTCTGCGCTTCAGTTTCTGGCTCAGGCCCTGTCTAGAAAGGTGGGCTGGCTCCAGTGTTCAGGGTCTGGTGGCTTTACCACAGATGCACAACCAGATGTAGGACTCTCTGCCTCTTACTGCCTGCTTGTGCATGCATGTGCAGACCTCTGGCTTGAACCAGAGCCTTTACACTCAGCTGTGCCTCCAGCTCTCTTAGTCTATTTTCATTTTAACACAATGTGTTGAATTTCCCAGGATGGGCTTGAACTTGCGATCCTCCTGCCTCAGTCTCCCAGAGTGCTGGGATCACACCATGTGCCGCCATACCCAGCAGGCTGAACGGCTCTTGACAGGTCAGTGAGCTCACTAAGCTCAGTGTCAAGTGTCTGTGTGTAATCAGAACAATTCTGGCACTGTGGACCTTGCAGCTGAGGACCACAGGACAGAGTGGCTGCTGGAAGAGTTTACTGGCAGCTGTACCCTACCCCTCAGCACACAAAGCCTCGGTCAGAAAAGGAGGCTGCCCTCATGGTCCGCTCTGTGTCTAAACAGGCTTGAGAATCAGGCTTCCCTGCCCAAAATGATCCTGTTTCACAGCTGTGTAAACCGAGGCTCAGAGAAATTAAATCATTTGCCTGAGGTTGCTGATTTTGGTGCTTCTCAGGTAGCTCATAAATGTTCTCTCTCTCTCTCTCTCTCTCTCTCTCTCTCTCTCTCTCTCTCTCTCTCTCTCTCCTCTCCTCTCCTCTCCTCTCTTCTCCTCTCCTCGCCTCGCCTCTCCAGCCCACCTTCTCTTCTGCCTCTCCCCGTCCTTCTTTTCTTTTCAGACAGTTTACAGAGAGAACAGGCTGACCCTAAACCTGCTACATAGCCAGACTGACCTCAAACTTGAGAAACTCCCTGTCTCAGTGACCACAGCACTGGGACTACAAGAGTGTACCCCTTGCCTTGCTTCTTTCCATTTTGAAAATCACTTAACATCTACCAAAATCGACTTCATAACTTCCTCATGGGTCTCAACCCACAGGATGAAACACTCCCGCAGGACAGAGAACCCAGGCTTCCGGAACTGGTGAAGTCCCACAGTCAGGCAACCTGGAGCATCCTGGGCCTGCTCTCAGCACTTGACCTGCCCAGAGTGGATGCAAGGATTGAGGCATGAGGAGAGGTGCTCACATGGGAGCTGAGAGCAGGCACAGGGCTCAGTCCCACTTGAGTCCTCACCAGGGTCCTCCTCATGGCTGAAGGCAAACCCTCTCTGTGGCCAGGTCAAGGCCCTGCTCCAGAGCAGATTAGAGCACCTGGTACAGGCCAAGCACAGGCCTTCCTCCTGCCCAGCACTCCTGCCATCTGGTAGTCTTGCTAGTACCCACTTCATAGATGAAGAGCCTATAGGAAGGTGCAGAGCACATGACTTCCTCCCCATGCAGCCCTCCAGGGACACCCCACCCCCTTCTCCACCACATGCATGCCAAGGCCCCTCACCTGTAGGACTTTGCCCTGTGGACTCTCAGGAAACAGCAGCACCTGGTTGTACAGCGGGTCCAACGACTTGCGAGCGACTTTGGTCTTCTTCTTGGCAATGCAAACGCCGTTCTCTAATAGGTAGGCCTTGATGTAGGCAGCTGGGAACAGAGGCAGCAGGCCCAGTTCTAGGCTGGATCCTCCTCAGATGGTGGGCAGAGGGAAGAGGTGGGGAAAGGAGTGCCCCGAGGGGGAGAGGAGGCCCAGCGGCAGGAAGGGGTGGGAGTGTCACTGTTGGGTGGGATCCTACCAGTTCCCTGGCTGTCCTGACTGCTGCTCCTCTTTTATTGTGTGTGGCCAGCTCAGCCCACCGGGGGTGGGGCTAGCGTGGCATGTGGTGCCAGGGATCGAACCATGGTCCCTGCATTTGCCTAAGCTTGCCTAAGCAGGTGCTTTAGACCACTGAGCTATCTTGCCAGCCCCTAGCACTCCTCTTGCTCTCTGCTTCCTTCCTCAGGCCATGACTCACCCAACCCTGCCTTATCCAGTCACTTGCTGACCACTCATTCAACAGATGCTGGTCACCCTGCCTGCCAAGCACACTGCTATGCACAGGGGTAAAATGATAAGCTAGAAATACAGTCCCTGCCCTCTAGAAGCTCTCTCTGTAGGGGAGACTGGCAAGGTGGACAGGACATCTCATCTGGGCCCCCAGACAAACCTTAAACCACCAGTTCCCTGTAAGACAGAGGGGTTCTCCACAGTTAGGCCCAATTTTCTCTCTTACTGACCCTGCATCCCCCCTGACCGAACCCCTGCCTTACATAGGGACAGTGGCTGCCGCACCTGGCAGTGTCTTGGAGCCTGGCTTGGCTGTCAGTCCCCGAGCCTGAATGATGTCCACTTCCAGCTGACCGTTCCGCTCCTGCAAGCCAATCTCCACGTCTCCTACAAGAGGCACCAAGAAATTAGCCCTGCTCCCATTTGCCCAGGCATGAAGACCCTCCCTGCTGCTCCCAGCCCAAATAGGACCAGAGCCAACATTCATGCCCAGGACCTGGGCTCTGCTGAGGGTTTAGCAGTGAGGACCAGGCCAAGGGCTGGGTGCTCAGAGCATACAACCAACAGGTAGAGGGAAGGAGGGAGACCTTGGCACACTCACCCATGGGCGTAGTAGCCAAGGTCTGGCGGCCCACAAACTGTGCTGGCCCCATGCTGCCTAGGAAGTCACTGAACTGGGCATCCGATGCCAGGCAAACTCCTCCATAGTTAAGGCTACAAGAAGAAAAAATGAGACAACACAAATGTACCCAGGGGCCCAAAGAACTCTGGAGACCCAGAAGGTAGCAACAGAACATCCTTCATTCCATGGCAATCTTTCTCCACATCCATGGTGCTACCGCTCCTTGCCAGGTCTTGGGTTCCACCTTTATGGTGTGTGTACCTTGGTACTTCCCTCTGGGGTGGCATTAAGAATTATGGGAGATTAGCGCCTGGGAGGTGCCCAGCTCATGTGATGTTCCAAGTGTAGGCCAGAGACCAGCTGCATCAGCATCACCTACAGCCAATTAGAATCGCATGCACCTGGCACCACCCAGTGCTGAATCAGAATCTGCAGTTTAACCTTGAGCCCCAAGTGTTCACTCTGCACACGAGAAAACATGTCCTGGACAGAGGCTCTGAGCCAGGTATGTTATTGCCATTCCTTGGCTGCCCAGGATTCACTTGCCTTTCCTTCAGGAACAAGACCTTGAGTTTTTTGTTTTTGTTTTTTTTTTTTAATTTATGTGTGTGTGTGTGTGTGTGTGTGTGTGTGGCCAGCTCAGCCCACCAGGGGGCGGGGCTGGATGGCATGTGGTGCTGGGGGATTGAACCGCAGTCCCTGTGCTTTGCTAAGCTTGTTCTAAGTAGGTGCTTTAGACCACTGAGCCATCTCACCAGCCCCTTGAGTTTCCTTTGAAGAGGCCCCCTCCCCATGGTATGTGACTGCAGGGGAGGGAATCGGCCCCCAGAGACTGGGCTTGCAGCTCAGCCTGGCTGATCAGGTTAGCCAGCCCTCCAGCACCTGACCTGGAAGCTTTGCATGAACAGCAGGTGCGGGGAAGGCTCTCTCTTCCCACCACACTTGGCCTCGGACACTGGACAGGACTGCTGGCAGCTCTCATGACACCTACAGCCCACAGATGAGCACACCACACTGGTGGCACTGGGAGAGCTCCACCTGAAGCAAGTGACTTCATCTTTTGGTTAAATAGAGCTAATGGATCCAGGGATAGATGCCTACCTCATCTTGAGCCACTTGGAATCCTCTCTGTGAAGTAAAGAGGATCCCAGAAACTAAGTATCATGAGAACTCTGCCCTCTTAGGAGCCCAGAGACTATACCATCTACCAGTCCTGGCTGCCCCAGCCCTACCTCGATGAGGTACTCCCTGGTAGCAAACAGATTTCATTTTTGCCTAAGGTAGGGGCAGGATCAATGTCAGGATCATAACCCGACAGTCTAGCCTGTTTTTTACTGTCATGATTTCTATTACTCCTATCCTAATCCCAGTCTCAGAGTAAAGATGCCCAATAAATATAGAGACCAAGAAACTTAGATTCCTGGCTTTTAAGTTCTAAATCTAAAAAAACAAAAACAAAAACAAACACACACACACACACACACACACACACACTTAGAAGAACAGATACAAAACCAGGCTATCCTGCCACCAGCCTGGGAAAGGAGAGGAAGTCAGTGAGAAGGAGAAAACTGAGATTCTAGATGGTCCCTGGGCAGATCTGTGGTCCCTGGGCTGAGCTGGTAGCACTGAGGGATCACAGAAAATCTCAGGTTTGGTTCACGGGATCAGAAAGCAGAGGCAACTTGTGCCAGCCTCCCTGGTGGCAGAACTGAGGAAAGACCACAGTGCTTTGCAGAAATGGCTGCATCCCCTGGCTGTCATGCCAAGTGACCCTGAGAGAGCCTTTAATGCACATATATTTGTCCACATCCTAGAGAAAAATAAATACATGTTCCAGTACACCCAAGAGACAAATCCTGAGGCTGATGGTCCAGGCAAACAGAAGCAGCTGAGGGTATTTCAGTGGTACGGCACTTGCCTAGCATGCATGAAGCCCTGGGCTCCATCCCCAGCCCTGGCAGAAAAAAATAAAAAAGAAATAGTTGAGATCAGAGAAACAATGACCAGGGAGCAGACAGAGATGATCACGCTCCAGAAGATACTGGAATGATGGATGATGACCAAGGGCCGCACGCTCCACTCACCTCCATTGTCTCAGCAACAGTGACAGCAGCCACCAGTACTGAATACTAAGCAGCGCTGATAACCCAGGAAGTACAGAGACAATACAGCCGGCATCCATTTGTTTCATTCATTTGACAAATGTTTACTGAGTACATACAGTGTAAGTATGCTCTGTTCTAGACACAGAACATGTAATGAGACAGCGATTCCTGCCCTTGGGCACTAAGATTCCAGTAGACGAAGATGCATAACAAGAAACAGTATTAGTAAGTTATACAATATGTTAGAAGGTATGGTAAAAGAAAGTTAAGAGTCTATGATACTGGCTCTGATACTAAATAGTGTGATGACTGTCTCTGCTCCCAACTGAATACAATTACCCCTCAATATTCATAGGAGGCTTGGTTCCAGGACCACCTCATGGGTTCCAAGGCAGAAGGAGCCCAGCCTCCTAGGCAGAGACTGCTGCAACCTGAAATTGAAAGTTTCCTCCAGCATCCTCATTGTCTGCTCCTTGGTTCCTGGTGGGGTGTGAGCATACAATGGGGAACTGGCAGGTCTGGTAATTAGCAGTAATTGTTTCTAATATCAGGCGGCTGCCTGATTTCCAATCCCAGGGTGCCTTGGTGGCTGCCAAGAATTCAGGCTTACGCCCCGGAAACCTTGCACAAGAGATCACATCCTCCATGGGGCTGGAGGGCCGAGGTTCAGTGTGGCTGGTGGCTGGTGGCTGGTTGCTGGCCAGAAGGCCAGCTGTGCTGGAGACCCTGCTCTGCCTCAGCCTCTTCCATCTGGTAGGAAAAAAGGCAGAGGCTGCAGCATCAGACCTCAGCCTTGCTGGCCACCTGCTTGTGGTGTGATCTCTAACAAAGCGCTACTGTCACTGCACTTTGGTCAGAGTTAGTTCTGTCAACAGGATCACACTATGTGGTAGACGGCACACAGCCATTCGCATGGCCGGCACTGGATCTGTTTTAAATGTTTAAAAAATTCTACTTACCTGATCCCTTACCAAAGGAGTATGGAAGGACTTGGTGAATTCGGAAGTGCTACCGCTTAGACCATTCCCTGTACGCAACAGGAGCTCAGTACACGAACCACTGCCAAACTCGAGAGCAGATCTCAAGCTGGCAGAATCAAAGATTGTGGTTAAGACTGGACTTTGGCATAATGCAGACCTTAGAATCTACTGCTGTGTAAGCTGGGGCAAGTTTTGAATCTCTCTGAGCTATAATTTTCTCATGTATAACCTGGGAACTAATAGTAACTGCCGTGCTGAATTACTAGGGAGAACCAACAGCACAACTTACGTTCAGCACAGAACATCTGCTGAATGAATGAAAGAGTGGGATGTGGCCTGCTGGTCTGGGCTGGCCGGCCCGGAAGTACCTCCCGTAGCCTTTTCTTGAGGCTTTCAGGGCATTTTTGTTTCCAGACCTTTCAGGCAGTGCAGCATCTGGATGCCCGTGCTCAAAGCCCAGCCATCTGGAGGATGGGTGGGGTGCAGGGGACGTGTGCCACTCGGGCAGAAGCAGAACACTGAAACAGGATTACAACCGTGTTCTGCCGGCCTTTTATTTTGTGCTAATGGTGAAATGAGATTTCCTGCATTTTAAATCCTGTTAGTTTTGTTTGCGGAGCTGAAATCCATTTGTCTCTTATTATTAACCTTTGGACTTGGTTTAGCCCCTGGATTTTTTGTGTTCTTGACGGTTAAAGGAGTAATTGGGTTATTCAGGGGCTTGACTCCATTCTTTTTTCCAGATATATCAGCTGTCTCAAGGGCATCAGAAATCAAAAGGTCATACAGCCACGGTGGTGATTATGGACTATGCGGTTTGCAAAGGCTATGAGAGGTCATAGCCACCCTGCCCACTGATTCACCACCTGCCCCCCTACGTGTTCATTCATCCGACCAGATCAACTTACTGCACCTACCCCCCTTCTGCTACCATGCAGAATAAGCAGTCCTAAGCGTTACTGTGTGGCACAAAGCCTGGATCGCACATCACATTTTATGGAGAAAATGGGGTCAGCATCACATTAAAAAAAAGGACACCTAATAAATATGGTAGCACAGTTTCATACATTTTAAATGCTTAAGAAATGCACAAATATTACAATAAAGTGGGCCCTCTGCCTTGGGAAACAGAAGTTTGCTAGTGGGAGTCTGCTTGTCAGGACGGGTGCTGCTTGGGGTCGCTTGCTTGTGAAGCAGGAAAGGGGAGCCGTCTGCAACTGGGTGGGAAGTTGTACCACTAGGCGTGGCCATCTGGTAAACTGAGGGCACAGGAGGTGTTTGGGGTTTTGTGTAGTTGTACGTGGGAACGGTTTTCAGTATTCACTCAGGGTTTCTTGTGGACAAAATCACGCCTGACAGAGCAAATGTGAAATTCATGCTATGCTCAAATTGTTCCTAATACCCCAAGTGTACTGGGACACATTCTAGTTTTTGAAACAAGCGCTGTAGCAGAGCTGACCAAATGCCAGGCTGCATCGTTATCACCACGATCCTGCCTCCCAGCCTCTCAGGCATTCGAGACTCTTCCAAACCTGCCCCCTCCGCGGGTGTGACTCATGGGCCTGGAGCCAGGGATTTGTTTTTTTATTCATGAAAAACTTGCCATGAGCCAAGCACTGATATTACTGAGTTATCAACGTTAAATTAATTTGATCCTTTTAACTTTAGAGAAGCCAAGTATTTACAATTAATGTCCATTTTATAGAAGGGTAAACCAAGGCACAGAGCTATGAGCACTCCAACCAGGATCACTCTCTAGCAAATGGTAAACATGAGATCTGAATGCTAAGGGCCTGGCTTTGGAGCTCACCTTCTTAGCCATTATCCTCCATAGCTGACCCCTGGCATCACCAAGGAACTGGTTCTAGTACTTTCCACAGGTAACAAAGCCCACGGATGTCGAAGTCCCTTGTATGAAAATGGCATGGTGTTTGGACATAATCCACACAGTTTCTCCTATCTATTCCAAATAATCTCTAGGTTACTTACACTATCTAATACAAT